ACTTTAGGCATTCTCCTCAATCGGAATGTGAACCTATGCTGAGAAAATGAAACTTTACCTTAGTCTCTAAAAAGGATCATTGATTTATCCAGGATGGAAGTGGATAAAAGTGACCAGATTGAAGATTATGCTTGGATTGAAGATGGGGAAAATGACCAGGAAGATGGGAATTGATGGGATAAGAGGTGAATGACATGACAAGAGAGTGAATAGGGATAGAGCCAGAGGAGAATGTTTAAATAGGACAGCTGATATGGGTAGAAACAGGGGCGGACTGACCATTTGGAAACTCGGCACTGCCCGAGGGCCTGGGGTCAGTAGGGGGCCCCATGAGATGCCCCTGGTACCTTTTTCATAGGCTTTTTTGAGTTTGGGCAAGGACACAGGGGCCCCATGATCCCCTATTGCCCAGGGGGCCCATGAGTTGTCAGTCCACCCCTGGGTGGAAATAAAGGAAAATTATTATAGTGAGGAGTTGAGCAGCATGGATGTATGTAGAGGAAAAAGGAAAATGAGTAGAGGTACACAACAGAGGTCCATTAGGTTGTAGAAAGAAACCGCTACCAGCACAGCAGTATATTTACCAGGTGACTAGTGATAAATAAAGCAGACATTGAAAAAGTGAGTAAAAACAGTGGCACATAGAGCTGTGCCACACTCTTCATCTTATTGCTGTAATCACTGTTTAAGCCTGGGTTCACACTGATCACAATCGCACTCCGTTTATGAGAACCACTGCGGGTGTGTATGTTAACAACACCCTGAAATTGGTTTTCAAAATGCGGTGCAATGTGCATAATCAGATTGCATGGGTGTGAATACCCATGCGATCCGATTCTAGTGCGGACCAATAAAAGGGCCCTGCAGCTTTTTGATGTGGGTGCGGTGCGATTTGAGCCTTAAAAACTGTATGGCTCAAATCGCACTACACAGAATTCGTATGTGATTTGCACAGGAATGCAGTGCGGTTCCTGTGCAAATCACATGCGATGTGCCGCACCACATATATGTGAACCCAGGCTAAATATTAAAGCGGTATTAAATCCAAAAGCAAACATTTATTATCTTGAAGCTTGACAATTATTAGATGATAATGATGGCTGCATTAGTTTTCTTTTTCTTATTTTTGTCCTTTTTACTTTCCTTAATTTACAGCTGGTGATCCAGCCAGTAAGTCTGTTGTTTTTCTGCAGACGTAGCAGTTACAGGGTTGAGTAAAACCAGTTATTAATGGCAAGGGTGCTTAAAATGATTAGTTTTATTTATTTATGTAAAACCAGTATCCCTAAGGGCTGGTTCACACTATAGAAACACAGTCTGGATGCATTTCTGCATGTGCGTTTTTGACACATCTGACGAGTTCCAGTGAGCTTTTGATACATTCTAAATGCTTTTTTTCCTTTTGTTTTGGGTCATTTGGGGTCCTGTGGATTTTTTTTAATGCATTTTACCACATTCCGGTGCATTTTTGTATGTGTTTTACTGCATTCTAGTACAACTCTGTGCAGGTAAAATGCAGCATGTTCTACTTTTTTTTTTCTGGAATTGGAACACACTAAAACTGCAAGCACTTTTTAACCATGCCATTGACAAAAAACACACTGGACTGCATGTAGTGTGAACCAGCACTTAAAAAAACAAACTGTTTGCTGTAACTACTTAGAAAATGTTAACTGAAGTAAAGTTTCAATTTGTTAGTGTATCTAAATCTGCTAGTGCATATACTACCCTCACCCCAGATTAATCACAGTACTTTCACATAGTACTTGCACTGAGAGCAGGTGGCAGCTGCAAGCACTCCGACTAAATGGTATGTTCTGGCACACATGTGCACTGGCGTGCCTTGATCCCCTGTCTAGTGGACACATGGTGCTCGATACCCAGCCGATGTGAGCGGCTTGGGTAAAGTGTGATCGCTATGACCAATCATAGAACTCACATGATTATAATGAAAGCGAAACTGTCATGGATGGCTTTAATTCATGACATTTTGCTTAATATTGTGATGCTGTGACTGGTCACAAGTGATCACATGTTACCTGGGCCAATCAAAGCAGCCTGTACCATGTGATGCACCACAGTATCACAATAGTAAACACTAAGTTATAAATAAAAGCCACTCATGACAGTTAAAACTATTGCTTATAACAGTGATCATCACTGATATAAGCAATAGTGTAAAAAAAAAAAAAAAAAAAAATCCCTGATCACCCCCCCCAGAGTAGTACAGACATTGAATTACTCCAATGACAGTATGTAAAAAAATAAATTATAAAAAGAAAAAAAATGTTAAAAAAGAAAAAATGTGTTTAAAAAAAGTTGAATAAAAATGTATATATTTATTTTTTTAACATACTGTCACCAGTATCCCTGATCACCGCCCACATCAGTCATATGATGATGCTGTACTGCACTAGTGACAGTATGTAAAAAAAGTTGTGAAAAAAAGCACATTTTATTTAATTTCTACATTTTCCCAAAAATTGTGACAGAAAATTACTTATACAAACTCCCCATGCCTCTTACTAAATACATTGGACTGTCTACTGTTTAAAAAATAGGTAATATGGGGGGGTACTGACCTGGCATTTTAGGGCCTCAAAAAATTAGAGTCAGTCAGCACATCAGGATTAAAAAATATATATATATATATATATATATATATATATATATACACAGTATCTCCCAGAAATGAGTACACCCCTCACATTTTTGTAAATATATATTCTATCTTTTCATGTGACAACACTGAAGAAATGACACTTTGCTACAATGTACAGTAGTGAGTGTACAGCTTGTATAACAGTGTAAATTTGCTGTCCCCTCAAAATAATTCAACACACAGCCATTAATGTCATTAAACCGCTGGCAACAAAAGTGAGTACACCCCTAAGTGACAAGGTTCAAATTGGGCCCAAAGTGTCAATATTTTGTGTGGCCACCATTATTTTATAGCACTGCCTTAACCCCCTTGGGCACGGAGTTCACCAGAGCTTCACAGGTTGCCACTGGAGTCCTCTTCCACTCCTCCATGATGACGTCACAGAGCTGGTGGATGTTAGAGACCTTGCGCTCCTCCACCTTCCATTTGAGGATGCCCCACAGATGCTCAATAGGGTTTAGGTCTGGAGACATGCTTGGCCAGTCCATCACCTTTACCCTCAGCTTCTTTAGCAAGGCATTGGTCATCTTGGAGGTGTGTTTGGGGTCGTTATCATGTTGGAATACTGCCCTGTGGCCCAGTCTCCGAAGGGAGAGGATCATGCTTTGCTTCAGTATGTCACAGTACATGTTGGCATTCATGGTTCCTTCAATGAACTGTAGCTCCCCAGTACCGGCAGCACTCATGCAGCCCCATGACACTCCCACCACCATGCTTGACTGTACGCAAGACACACTTGTCTTTGTACTCCTCACCTGGTTGCCGCCACACACGCTTGACACCATCTGAGCCAAATCAGTTGATCTTGGTGTCATCAGACCACAGGACATAGTTCTAGTAATCCATGTCTTTAGTCTGCTTGTCTTCAGCAAACTGTTTGCCGGCTTTCTTGTGCATCATCTTTAGAAGAGGCTTCCTTCTGGGGTGACAGCCATGCAGATTAATTTGATGCAGTGTGCAGCGTATGGTCTGAGCACTGACAGCCTGACCCCCCACCCCTTCAACCTCTGCAGCAATGCTGGCAGCACTCATACGTCTATTTCCCAAAGACAACCTCTGGATATGACACTGAGCACGTGCACTCAACTTCTTTGGTTGACCATGGCGAGGCCTGTTCTGAGTGGAAACTGTGCTGGTAAACCGCTGTATGGTCTTGGCCACAATTCTTTTTTTCAGATCCTCAGAGTTCTTTGCCATGAGGTGCCATGTTGAACTTCCAGTGACCAGTATGAGAGAGTGAGATGATAACACCAAATGTAACACACCTGCTCCCCATTCACACCTGAGACCTTGTAACACTAACGAGTCACATGACACCGGGGAGGGAAAATGGCTAATTGGGCCCAATTTGGACCTTGTCACTTAGGGGTGTACTCACTTTTGTTGCCAGCGGTTTAGACATTAATGGCTGTGTGTTGAGTTATTTTGAGGGACAGCAAATTTACACTGTTATACAAGCTGTACACTCACTACATTACATTGTAGCAAAGTGTCATTTCTTCAGTGTTGTCACATGAAAAGATAGAATCAAGTATTTACAGAAATGTGAGGGGTGAACTCACTTCTGGGAGATACTGTATATATACTTTTTTCGTTTATATAACAAAATATAAAACAAAACCAGTGGTGATCAACCACCAAAAGATAAACTGTGAAAACTATATATATAAATTTCATTTGGGTACAGTATTGCATGACCATGCAATTGCCATTTAAAGTAGCACAATGTTAAATAGCAAAAAATGTCCTGGTTATGAAGGGGGTAAAACCTTCCAGAGGTCAAGTGGTTAACAATGCTGCTGTCCAAACGAGCCCCTGTGCTCCTGCATCAAGAGTGGGGGCAACTTAACACAGGAGGTGTGTTAAAGTGGAAATAACCTGGTTCAATGACCGTGGTATTACTGTGCTTGATTGGCCAGCAAACTCGCCTGACCTGAACCCCATAGAGAAATGGGGTTGCCAAGAGAAAGATGAGAGACATGAGAATGAACAATGCAGAAGAGCTGAAGGCCGCTATTGAAGCATCCTGATCTTCCGTAACACCTCAGCAGTGCCACAGGCTGATAACGTCCATGCCACGCCGGATTGAGGCAGTAATTGCTGCAAAAGGGGCCCAAACCAAGTACTCAGTACATATGCATGCTTATACTTTTCAGAGGTCCGATATTGTTCTATGTACAATCCTTGTTTTATTGATTGCATGTAATATTCTAATTATCTGAGATTGTGGATTTGGGGTTTTCATGAGCTGTAAGCCATAATGTCCCTCGGACACAGCGGATCACCGATCACGGAAAGAGCCGAAGATGTCGGCTCGGTCATGTGATCAGCTGTGTCCAATCACAGCTAAGCACATGTAAACAGGGAAATGCCAGTTATCGGCATTTCTCTCCTCTTGAGCTGCCACGCTGAAAGCTCGAGAGGAGAGGAGAGCCGGTAATCGGCTTTCCGCGGAGGGGACATGTACACTGATCATCAGGGCACTGATGATCAGTGTGCCCTGATGATCAGTGTAGCCCCAGCAGTGCCAGCTGTCAGTGTCCATCAGTGCCACATCAATGCCACATATCAGTGCCTACCAGTACACATCAATGCCACATATCAGTGCCCATCTGAGCTGCCTTTCAGTGCCACCCATCAGTGCCAGTCAGTGCCACCTATCAATGCCAATCAGTGCCACCTATTAGTGCGCATCAGTGCCGCCTATCAGTGCGCATCAGTGCCGCCTATCAGTGCCATGTATCAGTGCTGCCTTTCAGTGCCCATCAGTGATGCCTGTCAATGCCCATCAGTGCCACCTATCAGTGCTGCCAATCAGTGCCACCTATCAGTGCCAGTCAGTGCCGCCTATCAGTGCGCATCAGTGCCGCCTATCAGTACCAGTCAGTGCTGCCTATCAGTGCACATCAGTGCTGCCTATCAGTGCCACCTATCAGTGCCAGTCAGTGCTGCCTATCAGTGCACATCAGTGCTGCCTATCAGTGCCAGTCAGTGCCACCTAACAGTGCCAGTCAGTGCTGCCTATCAGTGCCATATATCAGTGCTGCCTTTCAGTGCCCATCAGTGATGCCTGTCAATGCCCATCAGTGCCACCTACTAGTGCCTCCTCATCAGTGCCACCTATTTCATATGGGTACAGTGTTGCATGACCGCGCAATTGTCAAAGTGTGACAGCACTGAAAGCTGAAAATTGGCCTGGACAGGAAGGGGGTATAAGTGCCCTGTAGGCTAGGGGTTAAATGGTGTTGCCTCAGAAGGGGGGTAGTCTTATATGACGAGTATAGCCCAAAACCTATGTTTTAACTGGAAAATTAGGGAGTCGTCTTATACACCCAGTCGCCTTATATGCCGGAAAATACGGTATATTTGACAACAATTTTTAGTTTTTGGATGTTAGACTTTTACAGACATGAGATCCTCCCCTGAATAAGAAACCTTGAATGAGAGATTTGCCTGAGCCTCTTCCTGCCAAATGGTGTTACTTTTAAATTTGAATGGAGATTACATTTACATATTAACACATCATGCCTTTGCTAATGGTCTTGTTTTGTTGTAGACTTTGTATTTAGTCTACATATACATAATAATGGAGATTTTCTTTAAGGTAGAGTAGGTTACAGTAAGAAAAAAACTTCTGGCTGCAGCTAGCTAGGGAAACCACAGTAAACTTAGAATTTCTTACAAATAAATTTTATCACACGCAGCTTACATTATAGCAACATTAAAACCAAACATTTACTATATTGCAACTTACCAATTCTTAGATCTGATGGCTGTTTACTTACTTTTTTAGGCTTCCTTTCCTTTATTTTCACCTAGTGATCTGGCCAATAACTCTGTTGTTTTTAAAAAGAACAAGCTGTCCTGCAGATGTAGCAGTTGAAAGGTTAAAACAAACCATTTAACACTGACAGGGTTGATTACAATGATCAACTTTTCTTTATTTATGTAAAACCTTTATCTCAAAAAGAAAAAAACTGTTTTTGTATTTGCTTATAAAGTATTAGCTGGCATTTGGTTTCAAATTGTTTTGCATATCTAAATATGTTAGTGTATCTAACACTACCCTCCCCCCAGACTAACAATGCTGCTGCCCAAAGGTGCCCCTGTGCTATTTCATGGAGACTAGAGGCATTCTAAAACAGGAAGTGTTACTGGCCAGATTACTAGGTGAAAACAGGGGGAAGAGCCCAAAAAAAAAGAAAACCAATGCAGCCAAAACATCTAATGACTGATAAAGCTGCAATATATTTAATTTTTGGTTTTGGGTTTACTACTGCCTTAATTTTGCACCAGCATTTTACTGCTTGTCTGAACATGAGAACTACAGATGACTGTCTGTCTGAAAATTTTAGCTTGCAATAGATTTTGTTGGGTTCTCTCTTTACACAAATAACAGGGTACAATGTTAGGGACAATAAAGGGGAGATCTCCAGCTGTAATACGTAAAATTCATAAAAGAGTTAAGGTGGCCATAGACAGATTGAAAATTGGCCGGTTCAGTAGGGACCGGATAAGATTTGATCAGTATGTGGCCAACCCTGTTTGACAAAAGATAAACTTGATGAACAGATGAGTTGGAAAACTTTTGTCACCAGCGACTGCAGCCACTGATCAGTGTATTCTGATAATGCTGGTCCCATTATCAGAATACATTGGCCTAGCAGGGGATTGGGGAAAAAAATGGAATGGGGAAAAAAAAAAAAAAAAAGACAGATTCTTTCATCCACACACACCTTAGTCTACTGGCTGAACCCCAAAAACTATCTACCTATTAACCATGCACTGCATCCCCAGTAACAGGCGTGCATTCTATAAGGAGAATGAGGTGTCAAGAGAATGCGTCACATGGCTAACCTTGATTAACTTACCTAAATATATCTGGGCATTAAAAAAAAATAGGAAGTGACAGAAAAAGGAGGGCTAGAAAAAAGTAGAAGTATAGAAAAGGGGAGAGATATTGGTCAAGGGTTCACAAGGGTATGGAAGGCAGGAAGGAAGAGTACCATTGCCTGCTCAGGGTAACCAAAGCCATATAAAACCCCCCTCAATTTATAATTAAAGGAGATGTTTGTCAAAGGTAGGTGTGTTTGAAGAAGATCTTGTCAAAGGTGGTTGTTCCACCTTCCACATAACAATTTAGCGATCATTCTTTCAAAAATCATGGTCATCCCCTTTAATCCTGATCATCTTATACTATGACATTTTTATTGCCTTTTGACTAAGTACAGAGCTCCAGACTGGCAATGCCTTCTGGCAGCCTCCAGTAAAGGTGACCCAAAGTTAGACAGGTAGTCTGCTAGTCAAGAAAGGAATCAGTGTAAATGTGCTGAATGATATAGCTATTCTTAACATCTTCGGAGGAAATCGAGAGGAAGTTTTTAAAAAAAGCAGAAAATCTTTGGGTTTAAAAGAGGAAAGGACCACACTGTTCTACAAGATTCAAAGCCCACGCTAATGCAGGTGCCCTCAGGATTCTAGTTCATGTTTCAAGAGTGGTGAAAATATGAGGAATGCTATTTTTCTAAAGTCTAGAATTTTTTCAAGAACTGTGCTAAATATACCGAGGAAGGTGGCATATACTGTGTGAAGGCTGGAGGCAATCTATGCCAAGAAATGATGTTTTTCCTCCCTGTAGTCCCTAACATTGCTGCAGTCTCTTAACAGTAACGAAGACAAAAACCTCATTATCTTGCCCAAATTTCAGCAGCAGCAACATCTTTCTGTGCTACTCTGCTCAGATTTTATTCTTGCAATTTACAAAATGAAATAAAAATCTGGTTCTTGTATACAACGGAGGTACTTTTCATACATTAAGCTCAGTGTGACTAGAAAAGGGGCATATGTATAAAACATTTATTGAACTGACATAAGGGATATCACAGACAGTAAATGACTAAAGTCAGCATACATGAGAGTAAAATCATCATCATATGGGTGTTTGTGGGTCCACTGCCTCTGTTTTGGAAATTTAAAGCGGAGCTCCACCCAAAAGGGGAAGTTCCGCTTTAAGGACTGCTCCCTCGCTCCCCATTAAGGATTGGCTCCTTTGAGGGGCAGGGAGCGGGTACCTGAATTTGACAGGTACCCGCTCCCACTTCCTGTCCGATTGCCTAGGTGATCGAAAGTGGAAGGTGTCCTCCCTCCCTGTAGTCTTTTGGGACACATGACAGGTCTCAGAAGACTACAGAACCATTCATGAAGCGCAGAGCTACTCGCGCATGCGCAGTGGGTACCCGGCTGTGGAACTGCAAGCTGTCACAGCCAGGTGCCCACACTGAAGATGCCGGCCTCCTGGAATACAGGACGGCTGGTGAAACAAGCTGTGGGGGACACACCACGGGACCGAGGGACAGGTAAGTATCTGTTTTTTAAAAGTCAGCAGCTACAGTTTTTGTAGCTGCTGACTTTTAGTTTTTGATAGGTTGAGTGGAACTCCGCTTTAAGCTAATTTTGCTAACAGTGTTCTTCAGAGTATTACAAAAAATATTACCACACTCAGGTCAGAGAAATTATCCTTAGGGATAAACCTATGCTTGGTCTGATGGGATACATTGTCTGCAGCTTCTTCTTACTCCTTGATCCACATAGGTGCAATTCTATCTTCAAAAAGACAAAAAGCTGATGACATTCAGGGGTAGATTTACTAACTGGAGCACTCGGAATTTGGTGCACCTGTGCATGGTAGCCAGGCAGCTTCTATAACTTCAGCTTGTTCAATTAGCCCTGGTTCACATATATGCGACTGCGTGGGACGCGTTTTGGCGGGAACGAGAGCCTATTCATTTGAATGGACTCCCTTGCCCCGGGACACGCAGGGAAGAAGTCCCTGCACTTCTTTGGAAACTGCAGCCCGCATGGGAACCTCGGTTCCCAGTATGGTTGTGATTTCCAGTGCGGGCGGCGTGCCATTAGAATTAATGGCACCCGCCCGCGGGTCCGCATTCTTCTGTGCAGGTGGTGCGGCTGCATGGATTTTTGTACAGATCCGCAGCGGCACCACCCGCACATATATGAACCTAGCCTTATGCAGGCCATAGACGGGTTGTTTATCGGCCGAATTTTCGTCCGCATGAAAAATCGGCCGAATTTTCGTCCGCATGAAAAATCGGCCGATATTCACACCGTTAGTGGGGCAATGCCATCGGTCGCTTTTTGTGGATCTTCTCGTTTCTTTTTATCGGTCATGCTGGAAAATCCACAATTTCGCAGACATTGGTGGCAGCATCGGCAATGACCAATTTTTCGTTTTTCGTTTGGCCGATAAGCGGCCCGTCTATGGCCAGCCTTAAGCTTTGGCAATAAAACCTGCAAGCTGGTTGGTTTCTCTATGCATAGTTGCACCTGATATCGCACTCTCCAGCTTTAGTAAATAATCCTATAAATGTGAACAAAAATTTACTATGTTGACACTTGCCAATCTTTAGTTGCCCTTTGATAACGTGCTCGTACGCACGAAGCGCATCAGGGTGGAGCCTAGCTGGTGGCGTTACGACGTCAGAGCCGCGCAGAGGCCGGCGGCCATATTTGTTTCTGCTTTATCCCCTACATGTGAGTGTATATCTGTTATATATATATATTAATAAAGGATCTTAAAAATACTACACTATCAAAGTTTCTGTTTGGACTCGCTGCAGTACGAGCCCCTCCTTTGAAGGTGGATTCCTAGTCTGATGCTCTATGCCTTATTTGGTGGGTT